GTCTAGTCCCTCGAGGAGCTCGCTCCAGGACCGAGACCTGGCATCCGCAATGGCATGTTGGAGCGCCATGGTTGCCTCTCGGTAGGCTCTGTAAGCTCTGGTAATTTCATCTTCAGTGGCACTCCGTTGTCTTCTGCGTCGGGTACGCTGAAACTGACGTCGGAGCCTAAGACAAATAGAACGCAATTGCGCTATGTCTTCTGACCACCAGTAAGCTGCCCCAGGACGCTGGCCAAATCTGATTCGGGGCATAGAGGCGTCACAGATTGACACCATTTTGTCCCGAAACCAGGTCGCTTCCCTTTCCGGATCGGGCGAGATCCCTTGTGAAATATTTTCTGGCCAGGCAACGATGTTGGCAGCTGCGATGAGCATTTCTCGATCGAGCTTTTTGAGGGCCCAACGTCGTGCCGGTGGATTAGAAGTTGCAACCCTTCGACCATCAGTGGGACTGGGTGCTATGTCAAAAAGTATATGCCGATGGTCGGAAAGTGTGACAATTTCCTCGGCCACTCTCCATTGCAATACCCTGGAGGCAAGAGAAGGAGTCGCCCATGTGAGGTCCACAATTGACTCCCCTTGCCACCTGACGCAGGTGGCAACAGATCCTTGATTTAAGAGTCGCAGATCAAGTGAAGCTGCCCAGTCTTGTACTGCGTGTCCCCTTGGTCTGTCCCGTGTGTTTCCCCACGCTCTAGAATGAGCATTAAAATCACCCAGGACTAATACCGGGCGGGGTGAGCATTTGCACCGGATGCAGTTTGCAACTCCATCAAGGTATGCCTCGTATTCCTGTAGGGAAATGTTAGGGGACACGTAGCAGCCCACTACAGCTATTGGTCCCCACTCTACAGCAACAAAACCGTGTCCCCTGTCTAAAAGACAACAGTGAGGCCCACCGTTTCCACTAGCCCAGTAAATCGCGACTGAATCTACGGTATCCCGGAACCAACGAGGATGATCCTGGAGACCATACGGCTCAGCCACCACCGCCAATGCAACTGACCACTCCGCAATGGTTTGCAAAAATAAATTTTGTGCACTACGGCAGTGGTTCAGATTGCACTGGAGAACTCTCAAGGCTGGGAATGTGACGTATCCATTTCCTCCACGGGGCTTGCACCTAGCGGTGCAGGCGACGTCACTTGGGGCTTACCAGACTGGTTGGATGCCCGTTTCTTTTGCGGGTTGCATTTCTTGCTTCCCAGACGATGGTTGGCTTGGCGACCCTGATCTGAGCAAACTGGGCATCTTACATTCGGTGATGTACACTCACTAGCTTTGTGAGCCCCACCGCAGGCGTAGCACTGATTGCTCCGGTCCGTCGTACTAGTGCACTTACTCCGAACGTGACCTGGCTCGAAGCAACGGTAACACATCATGCGACGTGGCTCTAGTACCTCAACTCTTACTGACGTCCAACCTAGTGGCATGCGCTTGTCAGACGCCAGCTTCTTCATAGCCGTTAGAGGACCACGCACCCATACGTGTCCTAAAGAAGTTGGGGGTCGTCGGATTTCACCAATCTTGACGTCCCCAACGGAGCATCCACCCGCCCTCGCTATAGCTGCAACAACCTCTTCTGGAGTTATGGCATCGTTCAGATCCATGACCCTTGCTTCTGCCATTTTGATTGGCCGTCTTATCACCACTGCAAAGTCAGCAAGTACCTCTCTCATACGATTAGCAAGGCGATCGGCTTTAGAAGCTGAGTCCTCGCCAGAAATCATCAGAACGATTCCACCATCAGCGGCACGTTTCTCCCGCAGTAAGTCAGGAGTTATACCCAGTTCGACAATATTGATTTGTCTCCTTGCCACAGACATAACTTCTCCAAGACCGACTGTCGCTCCCTCTTTCACGCATATAGAAATCGCTGCGGAAGTAGGAACTTTCGGCAATTTAACCCGCTGTTTTTTCTGCGTCAAATTGATCTGTGTCTGAGGAGATAAATTAACTGGTTGTGGTGCTTTCGCTCTTTTAGCCTTTCGACCTACAACTAGCGACCAAGTTTCCTGGGAAGACATATTCCCAGTGTGTTTATTCGGTACCGATACAGTGGGTGTAGATACCGCTGGCGACACTGTTACAACTGGTATAGCTACTTGGCTTTTCTTAATTTTCTTTTTCTTTTTCTTTTTCTTCTTATCGGCTTTCGCCCCCGTCTGAACTGGAGGAGAAACCACAATTGTCCTAGCATCTGAGGCGAGAGCCGGGCGTAGCCTCCTCTCTGGCAACAACCTATCTTCTAGAGCAGCTAATTTCGCGTCCATCATACCACCGATTTCTATGGCAATGGAACGTCGGAGCTGAGCCACGTCATCCGATGCAAAACCATCTAGACCTAATAAAGCTGACGCTTGCATCTCTGATTTTCCTCCCTGCTGAGAGAGCGTGTTAAGCTGGTTTTTTAGCTCTACAACCGCTTCTTTCAGGCTAGCTATTTGTGCTCGCAGATCTGCGTTCTCCTTGGTTAGCTTCTCCAAGGAGTCTTTATCCGAGCCAGGCAAATTCACTATTGAAGCCTGGTCAGATGTAATTGTCGTCCGAGTACGCTTACGTGCGCGTGTCGTTATTGATACCGACTTCTGGGAGACAACGGACATTTGCGAGCAGTCTGACTCACCACTGTCACTTGTTGCACCGCCCATTGGTGTAGCTGGTCGTTTAAAATATGACCGAGTCCTCATCCCTTTTGAACTAGGACTTGAACTGTCCTTGCTCGAGTTTTCCTTTTCCACCTTCTTATCATCATTTTGAAGTTTTGATTTATTTAATTCCATATAAGTCCCACGAGTATGGGGGAAGACAAGGTCCGCCTAGGGGGTGCCCCCTGTCCCTAGGTAAGTGTACATTTATATACCCAACTAGAGGGTCCACAGGTACCCTAGCTGGGGGTGCGCTCACGACTGATACAACTCCTCAGCCATACATACCCTCGCCGCGCACCAGAACTTAGTATTGGAGGAATTTTTTATAGAGGTTATCTTCCTCGCGGTCCGGGCGGTTAAGCCAAGACCCTCGTCCCGTTCCAAGTCATGAAACATAACCATGATCTCTTCCCGGATTACGATCTCGACGGTTGCATCAGGAATAGTTGTTCCGATGCTACTCGTTGGCAGGGTCAGTGCACAACAAGTACCGTCCTCCCTCATCCAACATGTCCTCTGCTTCAGCAGAGAAACAGGCGGATGACCGACTACCACCCAGTATAGGGTTTCTTCCAAAGGTAGGGCATCTGCTTGCAGAATACCTTCCCTTAAGTAGAGTTTAAGTCAAAACCCTACAGCCATTCCCGAACCCGACTCGGTTCTCTCTCATCCCGTCCAGAAGTTAGCTCCAGGAAGCAGTGTCACCATCTGCCTCCTGTATCCAGGGCGCACCACGGGGAGGTCTTCTGGCACCGCGCCCCGATGTTGTGGGTCCTAGTCAATTTAAGAGTTGGTTATAATATAAAAGACTAATTTTCAGTCGTCGTTGGTTTGGTTCGACACATCCACCTTGAGATATTTTTTTTATGCTTTAAGCCGATAAACGAGCAGATGGATCACCTCATGGTAAGCAATCGGCGTCGCCCGTAGACACTTGGAACACCAGAGGCGTTACAAGTGCGTTACATACCTTTTGGGGATTAAGAATTGGATTGAAAAGAATAAAAGATCAAGAGCGTACTCCTTTTTAAAAGGCCGGCAACGCACCTGTGACTCTTCTGATGTTGCGGGTGTCCATGGGCGGCGCTGATCGCTTACCATCAGGTGATCCGTCTGCTCGTTTGCCTCCTATTCCATAAAAAAAAAAATCTGAAATTGGGGTGGGGGGGAGGATAATTAGGCCTCCGGTAACCTCACTCACACGACGAAACACAACGCAAGCGTTGCTCCCACGCTTGATTCTTCGGATCTTCCGCTTCATTTCTCTGTGCTTCCCTATGGTTAACTGTCAGGGAATGCCTTAACGTAGTCCACCGCACTGTAATTTTTGTGTAATGAAGAAATAAATAAATAAATATTTCGATGTAATTCGACTTTTGTAATAATCATCACAGTGAAAATTAGATATTACTTAACTTCTTGACCAAATTCCAAGCCGAAGGTTCGACGTCCCTGTTCAAGTGCGTAACTTAGATAAGTTATTTAAGTAATTTTCTCTGTTGCTCTAACTTGTACAAGTTTTCTAGTTGCAAGTTCAACTTAGTTTTCAAGTTATCTTAGTGCCCCCTAGGGAGAGGAAACTGAATTACGTTGTTACCTATTTAGGTGTATATTTTTCAATAGATAGTACATATTTCGTTTCTCGTAAGTTACCTAAATATATATATTTTACAATCTTTTATTGAGAATTAGCTTGTGCCATCGGATTCGGCGGTTCCATAGGATAAATCAGAGCCCATATGTTATTCTGATGTATAAGCTACATTATTATTATTTTTTTAAATTCAAATAATTTTATTGCTTGTCTTCTACTGACTGCCTCGTTGTCCGAGTGGTCGCAAGTGCCACTGCCAGGCAAGGAGTCTCGGGCTCGATTCCCGGGTCGGGCAAAGTATTACTGGGTTGAAAAAAAAATTCAGTAGTAGCACGGAGTCTAGAATTGTGCCCGGTATACGGGAATAGGCTCAATGTGTGTGTGGCATTAAGTACCATAATGTGTACCTCGTGACGTGATGTTATGTCATTTTGTGAATTTAGTATAAAAAATACATGTTTGGGACACGACATTTTTGCACCGTGTACATTGATCTGTTTTCTTAAACAAATTTTCTTGTGTTTGTTTAATTTTTGTAATAGAGCAAATATTAAGTCAAATCAAATCAAAATCAATCATTTCTTTTTTCTCTTTCTTTCATATACAGGTGGACGTAATGTCTTGTGCATTGTCTAACAATCGACCTTTGGGTGGTGCAGAGATAAAAGTGGCAGGCATTATTGTGAAGTTTCATCTTAATCCGATTAGTAGCTTTTTGCGTAAAATAGTAACACACACACACACACGCATACATTCTCACAAACACACACACACATACATCCTCACAATAATATTTGTAGGATACATCTTGATTACCAAAATGTTACTTTAATGATTTCTGCCCAGCCTGAAAGCCTCAAAATTCCTTGCAGCCAATCGACCAATGATTTAGTCAAATAAAATTATCGTCATAAAAACTATTACTAAATGATAGAATAGTTATGAATCAGGGTATGAAAATTAAAAATCTAATTAGTCCGTAAGTTAGGTAATAGAAAATATTAGACACGTATTTTTTTATTTTGTCGTATAATAAAATGATACTTAGATAAAAGGAATCAAAGTTTAGGAGTGGGGGCTACGTCATTTCTACGTATAAAATGTACATAGAACAGAATTGACGTCACGTGACATTTCAAATCTGAACGGTTTAAGACTGCACGGTGGTTGGTGCGGTGGCTGGGCAACTGGCTGCCGTGCAACGTGTCGCGGGTTCGATTCCCGCACGAGACAACACTTTGTGTAATCCACAAATTGTTGTTTCGGGTCTGGGTGTCAATGTCTATGTGAACTTGTATGTTTGTAAACGCACCCACGACACAGGAGAAAATCCTAGTGTGAGGCAACGTTTTTTTTTAAAAAAAAAAACAATATATCGTCGAAAGTATTCGTTTCTATAATAAAATAAAAGATACATGTCTAATGATTTGAAGTAATCTACCAGACGGACATTAAAATAAAAATTAGGCATCTACCCTATTGTTAGAAATATATTTCTGCTAACCAAGTTAAGGAAAACAGTCACGAATGATAGCATGCCATACAGAAAAAGCATCTGTTAATACGAAAAGAAAAAACTACAGGCCACAAGGGGCCCACAAATAAAAGAAGCACACGAGTTCCAATTTTGAACCACAATGCCCCGAATAGAAAAACCAATTTTGAACGTAACGCCAATATTGAAACCAATATGGCTGCTTGAACTGAAAAAAGAAGCGTCACGACATTACATCAGGCGTTTGGTTCTATGAAGGGATAGGCAGAGATGTACAAAATTTAACAGACACTTTTGGCCAGTCATGGTGTGATGAGGTTATGTTGATAGGAATCTACACTTTTTTTAATCTCATTTATTGTAAGAGATTTTTGTACACATTTTATAACGATGTCAATAGTATAATGTAATAAGTGTGGGAGAGCCATGCTTCGGCACAAATGGGCCGGCTCGATCGGAGTGATACCACGGCCTTACAGAAAACCGACGTGAAACAACGTTGTGTTGTGTTTCGTCGTGTGAGTGAGATTATTGGAGGCCCAATTAGTCCCTAGTCTCCCGAATACCTGAATTCTCGACAAGCCTCAAATTCCCAATTCCCAAAAAGGCCGGTAACGCACTTGTAACGCCTTGGTGTTCTAGGTGTCCATGGGCGGCGCCGATTGCTTACCATCAGGTGATTCGTCTGCTCGTTTACTGGATGCTATAAAAAAAATCCCATCGTGCTTTTACATAACAAATGTATTTACAAGGGAATCTACATTTTGGAGCTAGAAAATAGATAATATTTTTAAAGCCAGGAATACACTAGTGGACAAATGTTCCTCGACTTGTATAGTGAACATGTCAAGCAAAGCCTGCCGATTTTGCCCAACATATTATAAGGCAATAACGCACGCCTTTTGTCCACAGCGACGTTGATGTTGCCAGATAATATGTCGACCAAAGTCCACCCAACGTCGCTGGCAACGCGTGTCGTAGGACATTTGTCGCACAGTGTATCCTTGGCTTAATAATACATTTTTTGATTTGACGTTCAAAAGTGCCTTCCTGGTCTAATTTAATGAAATAATTTCGACTTATTGACTCAGAGATATTACTGACAATAACAAAAATGTATAAAAAATTTCGTAGTGGCCCTGAGGTTTAAGACGCCCGCTTCTCATGCATGAGGGTGCCAGCTCGAAACCTGCCAACGGGAAGTACCAATGTGACCTTTTCCCAGTTTTATGTACTTTCTAAATATTTAGATACCACTGACAAACGGTGAAGGAAAACATCGTGAGGAAACCTGGGCATATAATTTCTAATTATAAGTTTGAAATCGCCAACCCGCATTGAGCAAGCATGGTGATTAATGCTCAAACCTTATCTGTATGAGAAGAGGCTTTCTCACTTAGTATTTGGCATTTATAGGCTGTTGATGTGATAGAAACTTTAATAAAATTCATCAGATCGTTGAACTAACGCAATTGTTACTATTTTCAGAACAGGTGCATTCGAAACTCCTTCTTCCGAAGACTACTATGGAATAGACTTGCACAGTTCGTCGACTAAAATTGACTTAATGTCTGGACTTTCAAAGATACTGTCACTTCTTGAGTTTGTAATAGAGTTTCTTCTCAGAGTAGTCAGTTAAGAAACAGCTAACTTATCTAGACTTATAACATCACGCCTTTTATCCCCGAACGGGCAGGTAGAGGTGCACATTACGGCACTTAATGCCACTGTACAATGTAACACCCACTTTTCACTATTAATGTCATGAATCCCATGTAATAGGGGGTGAGCCTATTGCCATATACCGGGCACAATTCGATACACCATGCTACCACTGAGATATTCTTTTTTAACAACCCAGTAATACTTTGCCCGACCAGGGAATCGAAGCCGAGACCCTTTGCCCGGTAGTCGCACTTGCGACCACTCGGCGAACAAAGCAGTCTAACTTTTCTAGCTTCCTTATAAAAGTGCTATTTAGTATACTTTAACTGAACTTGATCGAATATTATTTATCGTACTTAACCCGGTCTTTTTTTTAAG